TGCGCAATGCAAAACGACGACAAATATGCAAATGGACACTTGACAATCGACGAAGACGCCTCAACGGGGTACATGGCCCAGCCGGGCCCGAAGCCGAAGGCCAAATCCTATTAAAATTCAATTGCCTGTAAATGAACTCGGGCGCTGGGCAACAGAGCCAAACTTCGGGGCAACAACGGCTGGGTCCAACGGTTCTTGTTTGTCACTTAATTAAGGTTAATGTGAGCACAAAGAACAAAACACGGCCACCCGCCGACTCAACTCAGCTCAACTGACTGACTGACTGACTGACTGACTGGCAGCAAGGATTAAGTTTAGATTTGTAAACAAGTTTCATGCGTTATTTAACTGCCAATGAAAATATCCTGTCAGCCAGCTGGGGGCAACAGCATTTATAACATTTGACTACGGCATCCAAGCAAAGACCAACGCCAACGCCGGCGTGCGACAAGTTTACTTCATTACGGTCACAAAAGCCAACACATTTGCTGAGTGCGTCTCGATTGGCGCACATGTGGAAATTGCTGGAAAAGCCGCAAATGGCAGCCAAAATGGCATGAAATCAATTTCAAAGTCCGGTTTTCTTTTCCAGCAGCGGCAACTTAACGGCCTGTAAAATTATTTAAAAGTTAGCAAACAGCAAAATTTAATTATGGCCACAACTCAAACAAATGTCTCTAACTACGCGCTGCCAACTTTCAGCACACATTTGCCCACAGACAGCTACATGAATTTGAAATTCTGAAACTTTTCAGCGCTGCGTCGAATGTATGCGCATTTCTAATGCTCATTTGTTGCATGCCACATGTGAGTGAGTGCGTGTGTGTGTGTGTGTGGGGTAACAATCTGCGCTGTTACATGGTGGGTTTTCAGAACATTAACAAAATAATATTTCTGGCAGAATTTGAGACAATTGAAGTCAGAATGTTGCGCTTGGTCGACTGCCTCGATGCAAAATGTTAATATTTTCTGATATGCCACGCCTCAGGACTGATCATGTTACTTATAGCATTATCAGCAAAAAGGTAAAAAGGTCTACTACTAATATCTACTACTCCTATCTGCTACTACTATCTGCTACTACTATCTACTACTACTATCTACTACTATCTACTACTACTATCTACTACTAGTATCTACTACTACTACTATCTACTACTACTATCTATAACTACTATCTACTACTACTATCTACTACTACTATCTACTACTATCTACTACTACTATCTACTACTAGTATCTACTACTACTACTATCTACTACTACTATCTACAACTACTATCTACTACTACTATCTACTACTATCTACTACTACTATCTACTACTAATATCTGCTACTACTATCTACTACTAATATCTGCTACTACTATCTACTACTACTATCTACTACTACTATCTACTACTACTATCTGCTACTACTATCTATTACTATCCATTGCTATATGCTACTATCTACTAATATTTACTACTATCTAAAATTTCAACTCTCTAGCTTCAATAGTGTTCATGGCACTTACACTCAATACACTTCTTTAACAGCTGAAAACTATGCTATATTTTTTTTGCAGCCAGAGATGTCTGCATGCAAATTTGCCTATCAATTTTGCGTGAACTTTTGGGTTGCAAAAACTAAAAAGAAATCAAGTGCAAATATCAGACACAACATATATCCCTTGACACTTCTGCTTACAGGATATGACAGGCACAGCAGGCAGCAGCAGCAGCAGCAGCAGCTTACCGCCCCCTGGCTTCAGCTGAAGTTCCCTAAATGCGCATAAAGGTCGCTTGGCGTGCTCTGGCCCATATATACTTATTGCCAAATACTTGGGCAAAGTATTTTACATTATAAGCGCTCTCAATGCTTATCAGCTTCAGCTGAAGTTGTGTCAAAGTTTGTGATTATTTCGCTGCTCGCTGATAAGAGCGAAGCGTGCCAACAGGGGCATGCAATAAACTATGCAGCGATTTAAGGCAACTCGCGTCTTATGGCAAAATTGCTGTTCAAATTCAATAGAATGTGGAAATATAAAAAAGTGAAAAGTGCAAAATAGAAAATAAAAGTTGAGAAGCTGCAAAAAAAAATCGAAAAAAAAGGCTGAGCTAAAGGCGAAAGGTTATTTGTAATGCTGCTGCTTAAAACTTTTCTCATTAGTCACTATTTTTTAGCGGCTGTTTAATTGTTGCGAACGCACAAAAGAGCACAAACTTTTCGAGTAGTTAAAGTTGTTTTCCATTTTCCATCTTTTTTTTTTAAGTTTTCTCTCCCTCACTTTTATATAAATTCCTGAGCGCAAGTCAAACAAATGCGGCTTTTAGCAGTGCAAGATTTGTGTAAACAAATTAAGCCGTGCCCCGCAGGTGAAATGAAAATAAAAAAAATAAGCGAACTAATGAGCGGGCCACTGTGCAGGTCTAATGAGGCCCAAATAAATTTCCACTTGTAGCAGCGAAACAAAAGAAATATTAAAACTTTCCTTTCAAGCTGCTTTTAGGCAAATATATTGGCCGTTACGCCCACTAATTTAGGGCGATTTGCAAATAAACACGTACAAAGAATGTGCACAAAGTGCGGCTGAGGAGGCTGTCGGAAACGGAAAGGGCAATGTCATTCAGCAATTACACAGAGAGAGAGAGAGAGAGAGAGAGAGAGAGAGAGAGAGAGAGAGATAGGCACAAAGACAAAGAGACACACAAGCTAGAAGCGAAGCACTTGAGTTATGTCTTTAGCCAGTAACTAGAGATGGGAGCGTATCGTGTTTTTGCTGAGAGCTGTAAAGATTTTAAAATATATATGACAAAATAAATACATATAAATAAATGTTTAGCTAAGGCTCATAGACTATTTTATAAAAATATTTATAAATATTTCATAAATTTATTTCATTTACAGAAATAAAATATGAAACTTTAAAATGTTTGATACTAGAGTATATATAGCAATATAACTAAAAATTATATAAAATTATATTAAGTCCAGAATTTATGGCAAGATGGCGCATAGATTATAAAGTATATATAGGTCAACCTACCCATATAAAATATACGTAAGTATTTTAAATAGCATAACGAAATTAAAATTTTATATTTATTTAAATTAAATTAATTAATATATTTCTTTTAAGTTAAAATCTTTCAAACTATTATAATACACATATATTCCTTTATATACATTTTTCTTCATTTTACTTCTCAACTTCAACTTTTTCAGAATAATTTCAGACCATGCTCGTGTACTTAAAGATACAGATATAAAATAAAATCTTTTATATGCAAAAAATTAGATTTCTTGAATTAAAAATTGTTTATATAAAATACAACTACAAATATCTCAACCAAATTTCAGTTCTCTTATAATATTATTTAACTAGAAGACACACAAAGTCTAAATCTAAAATAACTGTAGAAGTTAATAACGCGCTCATCTCTAAGCTCAGTCAAGAGCCGGCAACACGTTCCTAAGCTCTTTCAACCGAAATGCCCAACTCTTGCATAGCTCTCAGCAAGTTTAAGCACTGCAATTTCATCTATTTTGCAAGCGATTCCTTGCCCAAAATGTAGCAAATATTCAGTCAGCCCATCAGTCAGACAGTCACCCAGTCACTCAGCCAGTGAGTGACTCAGGGAGTTTGTACCTCAGTCACTGAGGCGACGGCGGCTTTTAATTAAGTGCGTGCCCTGCCCTAGCTAACAAATATGAACTCCTTTGGCAGCTCCTTTTGCCTAAAACATGAATGCACAAATACAAACACAAGCACACACACACATATATATATATATATATATATATATATACATATTAATGGTTGCCCCGTTTACGTCAAGTGCGTGGAATATTTAAATATATATACATATATATGTGTATGTATATGCGACGTGCATATAAATCTTGCAGTCTCGTCTGCCATTGCAGCATCAATTTGGCCAAGTGGAATGCTGTCAAATAACAATCTGCACATGTGCAACAAATTAAATTGGAATTGAAATGCCTGCCGGGCAGCAGATTGTCTTAGCGCGCACAGTCAAAATCTAATTGGAATGCCGTCAAGCCGTTAATGAGCTTACAACAAATTATAACGGTACGCCTATATACACACACACACGTATATATATATATTGTTGCCAAAGTCAACTCAAAATTCAATTAATTGAAAAGTTCCGTTTGAACAACTTGTCAAAAGCGCGCTTCAAGCCCTTTCCAACTTTTAAGCCAAAGAAACTTATAAATTGAGATTAATTCGCCATTTCGCTTTTCGCTCTTCACTTTGCATTTTACAATTACATTTACAATTATAATTTAATTTGTGCAACGCATTTATTTGAATTCACTCGGGAAACTGCAAACAGTTGAAGCTGGTAAATTATTACAATGTTGTTTAGGACATTAAGTTTGTACTTATAAGTAACAACAAAAGTGTTTATAAATAATATTTAAATGTTATTCATTTTACAAACTATTTTTGGGCTCAACTTCTTCTTAACATATGTTAGTTATGAACGTATACAAATTTATGAAATGTGTGTGGCGGCTTTGTTAAATGTTTTCGAGATATGTAAATTCAGTTAAATATATTTTTCCATTATTTTTTAAACAAATGAGATATTCATTTGTTCAATGAGTTTCAGTTGTATTTCAGCTATTGTCTCAACTCCGATTACAATTCCAATTCCAATTCCTATGGCGTATTTTATAAATAATTCGTACTTGAACATGTGTAAAAAATAGAAACTTAAAAATAACTTAAAATTATATATTTATATATAAGCAAGTAGATGGCTTAGTTAAGTTAGTTATAAGCCTATGACTATTAAGTTCAAAACATTCTACAATGGCAAAAAACAATTTAAAATTAATTTTGGATCACTCTCTTGATCTTGGATATGTTCCAAATATGAGTCTTAATCCAGTTAAATCATTATAAATATTATAGGACACTGCACACTGTTGACACATCTAACTTAGTTTTAAGCTATTTAAATATATATATACATACATATTCTGATTATGATTAACACTCTACCCCGACTTAAATATCATACAAAAACACTTATATACTATAGCCTTACGTTTTGTTTTTAATTAACGTATTCTTAAGCTTAAGTTGTAAGTAGTTCTTGTTCTGCTTCTTCTGCTTCTTGTTGTAAGTATTGTAAAGTTTCCTTTTTAAGGCACTGACATTATGTACACCTGACTGAATTGGAACTTAAGGCTAGGGATCTATGTGGCTAGCGGCTTGCCGTGCACACGAAAGCGGTAAAGACACGTATAATCCGGTTGGCCATGATTCGTCTCGATGCGCAGCTCAACAATCTCAAAGGGACGCTTGATGTCCACATTTTGTACGGCAAAGAACTGCAGTGAGGCACTGTTATCCTGATATTCATACTCACCGAAAAGCACCGGATCCTGATCCTTCTCGTGCTCCAGTCCCTACAAGGCATTACAATTAGTAAATGAATGATTAAGGTTTTTCCATTTGAAAAGCTCACCCAAACGGTAAAGTTGCGTGGCGCTGAATCAATGCGTCCCGTAGGCGATAAGCTCTTGGATATGTGCTCCAGCGTAAAGCCTGTGACATGAACCAAGGAGTTCAGCTTCAGCACTGCAATTAAATGAATGGTTTATCATCTGCGCGATCTCTCGCAGCACATATAGCTACCCAGAAATCCGGGAAAGCCTTGAAAGGCCCAGCACTCGCCAGGCTGCACATTGGGCGATATGGCCACTCTTGGCGTATTGCTGGGATACCAGAGGGGTATGCCAAACACAGAGATCTGTGCCGATTTGGTTTGATAGCTTTCCGTGCAGCGCGTGGAGAGTATTTGCCCGCCCGCCGACTCCAAAGCAAAGTCAACAAGGCCCGTCTTATCCGCATCGTAAATGGCGAGCACAGCCTTGACTATACTGCGCACATCGTCCTCGTGCATGTGCGCCTGCAGCGCCTGGCTGCTAGCATTGTGCTTGGCCTCCACAGCGAGCAGTATCTCACGCTTGAGCCGCTCGCTAATGTCGCTCATCAGCACAAGGCTGGAGCGTTCAATTTCCGCGCGTATATTGTTGTTGGTCTTCTCATTCAACTCCAGCAACTGCTGCTCCAGATAGTCCTTGGCCACGAACATGCTGCGCACCCAGTTCTGCAGATCCAAGTCATTTAGCTTTCCGCCCGCTGTCTGCTTGAAGCCCAGTATCTCGACCAACGTCAGCTTCACCTGCTTGTTGAGCAGCGCAAACTGGGATTCATTCAATGCCGCCAGCTTGCCCTCGATTTCCGCGAGTAGGCCACTGAAACGCTGATCCTGTGCCAGCTCGTGCTGCTGCATGCGAGCCAGCAAATCGTCCTGCGTCAGCTTCAGGCTGCTTATGGACTGTTGCAGGTCGGCGTTCTCAATTTGCTTATCTGACAGCGCCAGTTTGATGAATGCTATTTCCTTGTTTAGTTTCTCAATTTGCTGATCCGCAATCTGCTGGCCGGAGCCCTCCTCCTTTGCTTGTTGCAGTCCGAGGCTTACGCGTGCGTCTACAAATTCCGTTAGCTCTGGCGCGCTTAGCAGCCGCTCGAGCAGCGAACTCAGATCGATACGCTCCAGCAGCAGCGTGTAGTGCGTTTCCTCCAGCTTAAACTCGGCCTTGACCAAGCGCGTAATCTCCTCCAGCTGCGCGGACGTCAGCTTTGCCTGTCCTGCCTGCCACTCGCCAGATTGCTGCAGTTCCAGCTTCAGGCGCAGCACCAAATCGGCCAGCTGCTGCTCACTGAGCTGCGCCTGCTGATCTACAAACTGTTGCAGATTCTCGCGCATGAGTTGGACAATGATTTTTATCTGCTGCGGCGACAATTGCTGCTGGTGCTCTTGGGCTTGCTGCTGCAGCTTCAGCTCCACCAACTGCTGCACATAGCTGTTGACATGATTCAGTATATTCTCATATTCCTCCGGGGTAAGCGTCTTTTGCATATTCTGCTGCACTTGCTCCATGTTGAGCTTAATGACAGCTGCCTCCTGTTGCGCCTGCGGCAGCCACAGCGTCTTTAAAGCAGCCCCAGCCTGCGACAGTCGACCGCGCACCGAGGCATAGATTGTCAAGGGCAAAGGCAGCAAAGTCTCTGTGCGACGCAGATGCTCCAAGCGCTGCTCCTCGGGCAACAGCAGCCAACCTGCAAGCAGATAACAAGCATTAGTTGGGCAATTGGATGGGCGTGGCAACAGATTTATATCCTTCTACATTTGCAACTTTAAACATTTCTGTCTGTTTTTTTTTTAGTATATATCACAAGGAACTGTTTGATGGGGAGTTTCGGGGCGACGCCAATGAGCACAAATGCAGAAGGATAGAGTTTCTGTTCGATGGAAAATTGTTCTAAATATATTTTACTTACCATTTCAACTCGCAATTGCAATCGCGTGGCATAGCTCAATAAAATGGCAAATAAAACAATTTATTTTTGAAATTTTTGTGTTCTTTTGTACTGTATTTCGTCAATGCTTATGAAATTGTTTGCATTTATTACAAATGTAAATTTTTTTTCTTTTTTCTTTCTGTTTTTGATAGTTTTATAGACAAATACAATGGCAAACAATGAAAGGTTACAATTGAAACGTTGTTCAACAACAAAGAACATATTATACTTCAAACGTTGTACGAAATTGCCATTGGCGAAGAGCCACAACTTCGATTGTGCAATTAATTATAATGTTATCAATCATAAATAATTGCACAAAGCTCCATTTTTGTAGCCAATAACAAGGTGTACAACAACAAAGAATGATATTTAATGTATTTTTTAATTAATAATCTTTTTGTTTTTTTTTTGCACAATTTGAACAGCGTAGCGAGTTTGGTCGCTCTCTCTCTCTCTCTATCCTTCTCCATATTGCGTCATATAGTGGGGTGTAGGGGAGGGATTTGGGGTAAGCATGAAAGTGTGTGTGATGTGGGTGTATATGTTTTGGTGGGTTTCTCAATTTGAACAGAACGAACACAAGTTTATATCTATATATACATATTCATATATGTATATAGTTTGTCATAGATCATTATATAAACGAAAGTAAATGAAACATGAAACTGAATGAGAAATGTTTTTTGTTTTTTGTTTTGTAAAGGAAATGCTAAGCAAATGCTTGAATTTGTACTTGAATTGATCTTGGTTTAAGATTACACATTGAAGATTAACAAATAAAATGAAGTTTCGAGCTGCCGCTGGAGCTGCACTTCAGATGAGCAGCTGCTGCAGCAGCTCATGGCCAAGTCGAAAGCAAAATTGCAGAAAATATTCATTAGAGACGCTCGTAATAGACTTCATCGCCGTTCGGCTGAAACAATTGGCGACCTTTGTTGACCACATTCTGGCCGATCGTTCTCAGATAAACCAAATAATCATCGGCCCAGTCGCGCACACGCACAGCCTGATCGATGGCCTGCGAGCGCAGCGTTTCATACTGGGCCGCATTCAAGTAGGCGCCAACATCGATTTTCGGCAATTCGGGTAGTGTGAATGTGTTAAGATTTAGGGATTTGGGCGGGAAGCTTTCATTGGGATGCAGATAATAAAACAGACCTGAAAAGTTAAAAAGTTGCCAAATTAGCTAGCTTTTAAATTATAACTAAGACAATCTATTGCATAACTTAGAATATTGGAACTATTCAAATGATAATATGAAGTGTGAAAAGTTTCAAACATGAATAAAAATATATTAATTTATAAACTAAAGTTATTAAAGTTAAGATCAGAAACGTTTCATGAACAACAAAAATCTTATAAGCAATAATAATTCCATATCTATTCAGCTTTCTAGCTAACAACAAAAGCTTCTCTTAGGAGCTATACGAATCACTTTAACTATGCCAATCATTCCACCTTTGAAGTAAACTAATCGAATCTGTCTCTATTAAGATTTTTATACGAATTATGCATGCATTTTCCATATCAATATCAACCGCAACACGAACGAACAACTTGTTGCTGACGTCATAGCGCTGTCAACGACCAGAGGCGACGAGTTTTATAAATACGCTCAGCAGAAAGGTGAACTATATGCATATATATAACCACATATATACACACTTGTAATATAAGTTGTAGACGGCATTCAAGGTAAGCCTTTGGCTAGCGTTCAATGTCAAGGCGCGAGCACGCGTTTACATATTTTACATTAAATATAAATACTTAAATATATATATATATATCTAATATTTTGACATATTTTAATATATCTTCACTCACCCGTTAGCAGCAGTAGCGGCAACAGCATGAGCAAAAAGAGTAGAAAACGTTTCTTCGACTTGTTCTCCGTATTGCTGGACCTGAGCAGCCAAGTGTCCAGGCTGAGCACCGAGGCGATGCCTATGTAGATATAACGCATTGCGCTCAACAGGCTGCCAGCGATAAGGCCATGCTGCTTCTGACGCTGCTGCTTGGCATAGTAGTTCTGATAGGCGCTCGTTTCCGTTTCCGAAATGCTCGTAATGCTAGTCCACACGTTGCTAACGCTGCGCACAATGGTGGTGATGAGACGCACGAGCCACCAGCTTTGAGTCTGCTGCTGCTGGCCAAACTGTGTGTTGTCAATCTCATCGCCGGAATCGTAATTCAAATGCGTATAGTTCGCTTGATAGCGCCGGCGTATGAACTCCTCCTGCGTTGGATTCCGATTAACCATATAATTGACGCGCTCATCATGATTTTCCAGGCTGCGACGCGACATATTCGGCATGGCTACAATACCTGGTGCCAGTTGTCGGCGGTGCGGCGACAGTTCCGAGTAGGTGTAATCCGTTTTCGGAGTTTTACTGCGATACAAGATACAATTAAATAGGATTCAATCAGATTCACGACAAGCAAATGGAACTTGGAGACGGGCTGACAGTGGCACAGTTAAAGAAAATTAACTGACAACTTTATCAATGTATTTAACGATCTATTTGAACCCACTCCAAACTCCATTTGTCAGCTACTTACTTCCAGTACTCGCCCGCATCCCTGTACTCTATATAAGCCAAGTGATCATCGCTTAAATCAGCCTTGGCATTGCCATTGGAACTTGCGCGATTGCTGCGCTGTTGCTGTTGCTGGTGAAGCTCTTGTGTGGTATTCAACACGTTTTGTGTAGACTCCAACTGGCTGCGCGGCGTTGACGTGACAGCGGTCAAGCTGCTGAGGGCATTACCCAAACGCCTGCTGGTATTGGTGAACATAGTGGTCACCGTGGAAGCCTTCGACTCTGGCGTTGCATCGTCGCTCGAGTAGTCCGAGGTTAGCTGAGTTAGGACCTTTGAGCCAGTGGTTTTACTCTTGCCGGCTTTAGTGGTGGTGCTGCTGCTACTGGTGGTGGTTGTACGGGTTTCCACCACGTGCTCCTCCACGATGGTTCTGTAAATAAGCAAACAAGTGAGTTGATATCAGCGGAAGCGTTATAGTTCAAATAAATAATAGCCTTATGCATAATTAAGGCAAAATATGAACCAAAACAAACTACGAAATATGATCATAAATGCTTTACAAATAGAAACGCGTCTGACCTTCAGCGAGAAAAACAAAAACCAGCAACGGCATTTGGCTTTTTGGTTTTGTGGCTTTTAACAACATGAAAACGACGCTCTCATGGCCGAATTGTCCCCGCCTCCCGGCTGATGTCGTCATCAGAGAAACAAAACGAAATATAAATAAAAATGAAGCCACAAAGCGCACGTTTGATTTAATTCGCGCCAAATATCAACAAGCATTGAAGCACAACGGAGTTGCGCACCCTGTATAACAGTCCAATACCCTGTATCCCACTCCCATCAGTGCTGAGCGCGAATTACTGAAATACTGCTTAGAAATGAGTCACGTGCATTGATCGTGATTGCTCGCAAGAGAAATGATGTCATCTCTCATACATTTTATCGCAAACATAATTATTTTGTACTGCACTACAGTGTTGCCACTTGATTTACAGACACACTCTACCTCTGTGACCTGCCAGATCGTTACTACTATCACAGTGACTTGGCACAACAGTCACAGCGACTGTTGGCGCATCTCTGGTGCGTCAATCAGTTTGTTTCTGAATTGAAAATTAAAATTTTCGCGCCGAGTGTGAATAACAAACAGATGACGTCATGGTAACAAACACATTCAGACGAGCTGACCATGTGCTTGGCGTGTATTGGTGTCTGTGCGGTTCACATTTGTGACGCGCCTTTGTTTAGTTCAATTGCCAAAGCAACGTTACTTTTTAATGATGTCTGTTGAAGCAACTCTCCACTTCTCTTTGAAGCGCTGGCAACTGATAAGCAGTCCATTTCAATTGGTGCTCTATTTTTGGGCCTGCGTTGGGATTTATGTTTAGATATGCTTAAGTCTACTTACTGCACATTTGGCGCCACAGATTCTTTCTTCTTCTTGTGATGCACATGACCCTCCTCGCCGGCATGCTCGCAATTGTCATGGTCGCAGTTGGAGCGCAGGAATGGCGTCTTTGACCGCGATCGCCGGCGCGTCTCTATCTGATAAACTTCTCCGCTCATGGCTTGCTTAAAGAGTTTTGCTGCAAACGAAAAGAATAAACAATTTACGTTTGCAGGGGGGGAAACAAATAAATGCCGAGCATTTTTTTGTACATCTACGTGTGCGTATGTGTGCGACGGGCGTGGGTTGTTTACAATGTTAATTTCAGTTCACAATGAGCATTGGGCAGGGGGTCGCAAGCATTACAATTGGTAATGAAACAAGGTCTGACGAAACTCTTAACATATATAAATATATACATATACATATATACATATATAAAGATATGTACAGGTTTACATATGCGTGCGTGAGTGTTGCTGAGTTTCTTTAACGCTCGAGTGCTCAACAAATCGGTTTGTGGTCCCAAAACATTATCATTAATTTTACAAAATTATGCAATGCGTGTAGAATTGAGCGCATTTGCTAGATTTTTTAATTAGATCGCAATGAGAGCGCAACATAGATCTAAAAATAACAACTGGCAGCTGCGTTGCCGGGTGGGAATTACGAAGATGTCGGCAAATTGCAGGCGAAGCACCACAATTTTGCATTAAGGGCATTCAGGGTGGGCAACACCGAAAAAAAATTATAAACAAGAAGTTAAGCGGCAGGGTGTCCACGCCATAAACAAACAAATGTTTGGTATTAATCAATAAAATGCGTCGCGGCGAAAAGCACTCTCAACTCTAGCCGTTATATATATTTTTTGTTTGAAATGCGTGAAAATCTAAACAAGTTTTCCGACCCGCAAATGCGTCAGCAAACGCCGCGTCGAATATTTTCTTCACTTTTTACAGCGAGCCAATTGGAAATGCGAGGCACACACACAAATGCACAATTGTTGTGAATATTAATCACTTACTTTTCACACATTCAAGTCGTTTAGTTCAAGAATTTGTTTCTATTTAATGTGCTTTTGCACAATTTGCTTTTTATTGGCGGTCGTGATGATTTATTAATAGATTTCGTATACCAAGAAAAACACGTCCGACGCCGACAACTGAAAAACTACGATTGACTCGATGACTTAACTCTTTGCCGATGGACTATTTATGTTACGATGTATCGATAGGTTGCGCATAGCATCGAGTAGGTACGATACTTTACATTCGCTTACAATACTTCTACGATATATATCATGTACCTATGTAATGTTAGAAAAGTTAACATAAAAACACGAATTTCTTATTTTCTTAAGTAAAAACGTTGTTTATAATTAATGAATTGTTTTTTGTTGTAATAGCACAGAATATAAAAAACTGTTCATGTAGGTACAATAGCTGCTTTGGCACACAAGCTATTGGTAGTAGAGCTCCAGATTCATGCCGTCGTGAATTTCATCTGCAAGTACCATAAAAGGCAGATTATTACTATTATGCCACATTATAATATTAAGTTAAATTACAATCTGATAGACGAATGGGATCCTTGTAGATAGTATACCACTTTTTCAGCACGATCTTCTCATGTTTCGTGCCAGTTTGTGCCGCTATTAATTTTTTAAGGTCGCCAATTGTATCGTCGGGGTTGCACTTCACACGCACCTGTAAAACAAATGGAAACATTAATTCGTGTTTTGATTAAAGAAAATTATTTCACCTTTTTGCCCAAACGATCATTGCAAGTTATTTCAATCATATTTATGTTCTGACTTTTTAATGCACAACAAATATAATTCGATAGCTGCGAATTCCGACCAAGGCTGCATCTTCGATATATTTCTACGTTGCCAGAATGTCGCAAAATTTATATGCAAAAATAAATAGACGCCGAATTGCAACATTAAAGACGATATTTTAAAATATTGCAAAGATGTCAATGATTCCATTTTTTCCGAATCTTAAGCCGACTGTGGCTAATCGTTTTTGGTTCGATATGACATCTGATGATGAGATGCAAACGAAGCGCTATGAGGACGAGCGTAGAAATTGGGTATGTCTCAAATAAATATATATGTATGTGAAATATTGAAGTTCAATTGTGTTCTATTTCAGCGTGAGTCTTTAAAGACAGCAGCTACCGACTTACAGCCACTGGGTAAGGTGCACACTATAACTGGCGTCGAAACGGATGACGAGGATGGTAAGTTGCAGCCATGCAGACATTTGAGAGATATTGATCTTTGCTTCCCACAGCCAACGATGATAGTGAAGACACCGATAGTCACGATGAGGAGGACGATGAGACAAACGATCGGGTCATTCCCGTTACACAGGACTTTTACTCAGCAGACGACATACAAATGAACGATGAGACCTCGCCCACAGCACCCTAAAAGGAAAGGCATTGCAGAGATACACCATTTAGTTAGAGCTAGTTACTGTTGCGATTACAAAGTTCCCTTTACAAACTGTAATAACAATTTTTCGTTTACTTTAAGCTTAAATAAATTATAAACACAATAAGCAAATGATAGTTGGTTATCATTATTATAGTCTGCTGCTAGTTGGGTGTTGGAGGGGGACTGGAGAGTTCACAGAGTCACAGAAAGGGTGTCGTACAATTCATCTACTTGTGAAGCGCTGCAGTCTCCAGTTTAGGCGCTGGCTTCGATGCTAAGCCCGAAAGCAATTTCTTGATCTCAGCAATGGCGCGACCCGGATTCAAGCCCTTCGGACAGGTGCGTGTGCAGTTCATGATGGTGTGGCAACGGTAGACACTGAAGGGATCCTTTAGCTTGCTCAGACGCTCCTCGGTGTTCTCGTCACGCGAATCAATGATCCAGCGATAGGCCTGCATTAGCACAGCCGGGCCAAGGTATTTCTCGGCATTCCACCAGTACGATGGGCAAGACGTGGAGCAGCAGGCGCACAGAATGCACTCGTATAGGCCATCCAACTTGGAGCGATCCTCCACAGATTGTAAGTACTGTGCCTTGCCCTTCTGCTCCCCGGCTTCGTTTCTGTGTCGGTTTTGCGTGTTAAAAATCAAACTGACGATAATCCCACTGTTACTCACTTGCGCTGCAGCCAGGGCTGAATATTCTTGTACTGCTCGTAGAAGTTATTCATGTCCGGCACCAGATCACGCACCACATACATATGTGGAAGCGGATACACCTTCAACGGCTTCGGGCTGGTCGCATCAATTTTGCTGATGCAAGCGAGCGTATTGGTGCCGCCAATATTCATGGCACACGAGCCGCAAATGCCCTCACGGCAAGACCGACGGAACGTCAGCGTTGGGTCCATCTCGTTCTTGATCTTGATCAACGCATCCAGCACCATGGGACCGCATTCACGCATGTTGATCTCATAGGTCTGCATGTAGGGCTTCTCGCCGGCATTGTCCGGATTCCAGCGATAGATTTCAAATTTCTTTATCTGTGGCTCCGGCACTGCCTTCGGTTGTGCCTGTTGCTCCAGCTGCGTTGTGCTGCTGATTGCACGCAACTACAAAAAAAAATTGATAGAGAATTAATTTGATAAATATTGGCGCTCTAGTCACGCCATAGGAATTTTTTTTTTTTTGACGAAAATGTTTACATAATCGCACTTTGTGTTATTTGTGCGACGCATTTGATTTGCATTTTATCTGGCATGAGCGCGAATTAGTTATGTTTTTATTATTTATTATATAACAATATTGACCAAAAATCGGCCACACACGCCCTCACGGCTCTGGAGGACGTTTTAAACAGCTTTGCAGCTCACCTGATGACGTGCGGCCAAGGAGCTGGCGCGGCTCAAAACTTGTCTGGCTTCGTTGACCAACATTTTTCTAATGAAATTGAAACGTCACTGCGTTTGCAATTTGTTAATTAATTAATCAAATAATACGTTGTTTTCCGACTGGAAAATTCAAGTTGCAATCGAGAAGTTTGCACGACGAACACCTCTCGAATAGAGTTGTCACCACGTACTAATTATGGGTCTAAAAAAGCTAGCGTAAAAAAGCTAAAAATACCAAATTATAACAAGCATACATTAATGTATAAGTTTATATAAAACTGATTATGTTACTAGATTACATATATAATAAATACTTTATGTAGTATTCAAAACAAACTTTAACATATATATTTAAATAATAGCCTTGCTGTTCTGAATACTTTAGTACAATACTATCGTATCAGCTGTCTATCGATAACACTACAACTTCAGTTAAGTGGGACCATCTATCTCAAATTTTGTCATTTCAAAATTCAAACGATGATTTTTATAGTAGTTTTTATTTTATTTTATATAGTAGTATAATATTTAAATAAATAATAAATAAGTTGTAGTTACAGATTTTTCGATACTTTATGCCACAAAAATTCGTTTATTTAAATTTGGCTAACTGTTTCAACCGCGCCTTGGTGTGTCTGATGTGGTGACGATTTTTCCAAGCTGGCGGGCAAAATATTTAGCTCTGCATTTGCCATATTTGCCTCATTTGCAGCTCGCTGCTGCATGGGAGGGTAGTTTGGTGGCATTCTATAAATAAAAACCGCAACATAAAAAATATCTTATCTGTACTTATATAGTTTAACCTACCCATTGAGGGGAGCGGGCATGCCCTGAACTTGCACTTGTATTTGGCTGTAAAATTCGATTTTATGCAAAATATTGTGTTTAAAGTAAACATTCGTTAACAACTCACCTAACAGCATGTGTTGGATATACATATGTAGTTGGATAACCATGAGATTGGTAGCTAGGAGGTGCGTAGTAAACGGGTGCCACAACGGCCTGTCCGTGTGTTGTAGCTACTCCACCTGGTGGAATGCGGCCCGCAGGAGCTGCAAAGTGTGGGACGTGGGAATTAAGGGAACTATAGCTATATAGATAGATAATCAATTCTTTACCTTCGTTGATCACATAGCCAATGCCTTCCTTCGCCTTTTGTTGTCGCCTAATTATAACTATAATCGAAACTATAAAAAATATTGAAGTGAGTATGGAGAGCGTGATTATAAAAGCTTCCATTTCATCAACAATATTAGATGTCAGCTTTTCGACTGGACAAAGCGAACTGGGCGAGCGAAATCGCCAAGTTCCCCGTTCATGTCTAATCAGAAACCAATATATAGCAGATATAGATAAGCGATATCTGCTATAAATTTGGCAGTACGACGAGAATTAGTCACAGTAAAGCAAATGCCAAGAGAACTGTTTATATCTGTATAAAGCCAAGAATATATATTGATAATGCAGATAGTAAAAGATTGCAATAACAAGAAACAAAAGAACGAAAATTCCCAAAAGATTATTATTAATAAAAAACGCAGAAATATGTTTATTCCAATAAAAACAATGCTAAGAGAGTCGAATAAAATGGAAACCTAAAAACATATTTCTATTATAATTCGATTCGTCTGAGCTGCGTTTATACCAATTAGATTAGTCTAAGCTAAGAAATGCATTCAGTCCAATTAGATTAGTTTAGAAACGACGTCACTACAGCTTGGCTGTAGACATTTCAAATTAGATTAATATAAGCGTTTACTCCTATTACAATTATTGAGGCTGAGGTTTTCAGTTTCCAATTGGAGCATGCAATACGGGGTAACATGGGTAGTTCAATTAGAACACAAATGAAGAAATTAATATATGCCAATTGGCATTGCATCAGCAAAGATGTGTGCCCGGTCCAACTAGAATATCAAAATTGAAGATATGTATTAAATCTCATTATAATGACAAAACAACGAAATTTGCTTAATCCAGTTAGAACTGGCATATTTAAAATTAGAATGTATACGAGCTAAAATATGATATAACCCAATTAGCATTTAGAAAGCCATAGGTGCGCTTGTGCTAATTAGAGCAGTGAATGCTATGAAATGTTTTTCTTAATATAAAAATAAAAATATAAACATTTTAAATATTTTATCCATAATTGAGAATTTTTAAAGCTTTATTTTTGTGCTAAAAGTGAAGTATTTCTAAATCTACTTGGAAACATAGGGGATAGGAAAAAGGTCTATAATTGGAATATTTGTACAATAATTTTGATTTTTTTTTTTAAATTTGATATTTAAAGTGAATGTTAACATTCAAAGCATTATTAAATAATAATAAAAATGAATAAATAATAACAAATTATTTAATTATTATATAAAAAATATTATATTATAAATAAAACCTATTTTTAAGCAATTTGTTTTATTATTTATTATTATTTAATTTGGATTTAAATATTTATATTTATTTAAAATTTATATTAAATATTATTGATTTAATAATAAATACATTTCAATTATTTATTAACAATTAATTAAAGACAGGTTAAGCTACAGCTAAGCATGGCAACAACTTGACAACTTGTCAAGTTTTAATTGAGCGACGACTGTGATAAATGCAATTCCTGCAGCAAGCCGCGAGAGTCTCTAAAAACAACAACAACAATTAAAACGAATCGGCGACATTTTAATGGCAATTGCCAAGTGCAGGCAGAACTATAAAGCGAAACTTCTTAAAAGCCATTTATGCTGCAAGACAAGAGCAGCGCGACTTCGTCAATTGTCCATTGACCTTTTGTTCAACTTGAAACAATGTGCCTTATATACAATACAAGAATATAACGGGATAGCGTTATATAGCAATGGGAAAGCAACAAGAAAAGCGAGCTTCAAACTTTCGGCCTCATTCTCACCTAGGCAAAGGACATTTTATTTATTTTTTTTTTATGCTCGCAAGGCATAAAAACCTCAGTTACAAAAGTTGGCAAAAGTACGAAAAAAATGTAACACAAATGTAAAAAAAATATACAAAAAGTTGCTCAATGTTAAAGCAAACAGAGCAGCGCACAAAAGTTGAGGGACGCCAAACAGCAAATGCGGGCGTAAATAGCCCATCCCCAACCACGCCTCCGCCCCCGCCCCCACATGCTACTCAAGCAAATACACATAAGTCTAAACAATGCAAAAACTTAAATAAAACGCTCGGCCAGGTGAGCGGCCAAGCAACGCGCCGACCCGCCCCTCAGCGCTCCAAAATGGCATTACAAAAGCCTCAAAACTTTAGACAACAACAGCTAGAGTTGGGGAAGGGCAGCGGGGCGAGGGGGCGTGGCTGAGTGCAAGTCTTTTCGTAAATTGTTCTGATTGAAATTCGAGTCGAAGCAGTGCATGCAAATGACGTCAATGATGACGAGAGCGCACAGCTAATTAGCCGAGCATACGAAAAACTGCCTCCAAACAAAAACAAGAGGAACAACTTTACAGTCCAAACGAGCGAATCCAAACAAATACGAATCGCTCGAGGGCGGTTTGGCCCGGAAAAAGCCGTAGACTACTTTCGAGGGTCACTTCAATGGCCAATGCCAGCAGCAGCAAAAAAATAAAGAAATAGACACAAAAAGTATTATGAAGTAGCCAAAGATTTGATACACTTGCCAGCAGGCAGATCAATAAATATAAGTGTTATAAATATAAAATATATAAACTTAACATTTTATAAACAAAGTTTCGTCTTAAACAAAATTAATTTTATAGAAATTATATTTTAAAGAATTTCAAGTTATTTTTTAGCTTTTACTGAATGTGCTTCAAAATATTTTATTTCAATCCAAAAACTGACTTCATTTTGTTTCTTTACAGCCTAGTCTCAGCTCTTACAGAAGTTGTATAAAAATTATTTTTAATTCCAAAAATCATTTAAATTTATTTTACTTCTGTCAATCTTATTCTCAGCTGTTCTGATAACCTGCTGGAAAAACTAGACTTTTCATATAAACAAGACTTGGCCATCTAGAAAGAAAGCCTCAAGTCAAAGCCCAACCAAAAACCAAAGGATTTGATATAGAATATGATATGATATATGATTTGATATAGAAAAAACTTTGGCATATGAAAATATTTTAACTATTATAACTGAGCTCTAAAGCGGCTATAAAATGCGGAACTTTCATAGAAAAATAATTTTTTTTTTAATATTTCTGAAATTTAAAACAAAAACAAATAAATATTAAGATATGCCAACTTATAAATAAAAGTAACAAGATTAACTCAAGGATACCAACTTGACTAAGCATAATCAAAACTAATGAAATCCCACGTGATTAGATGTTAAAGGTCCAAAAGCTAACAAACTGATATCAACTTTTCTTATCAGTATCAATCAAATGAGAATTTCACATTTTACTGGCTCAGTTTATTCGAATGCTCGCTGTGAGAGTATCGAGGGAAAAAGTTTGCCAAAATCAATAGAAAACTGTGTGAGCGAGCGCCGACTGAATGGGCTCGATAGACGTTTAGATTTTGGCAAATTGAGCGAACCACCCGATAAATGTTTTGTGGTGCGTCAAATATACATTTACGTCTGATATATGCCAGCCACCCTAGCCCCCCCTATAGTCACAGAGCCCCTGCTCAAGTTTTACTTTATCTGCTGCTGCTGCTGCTGCTGGCTATATCATGACGCACGCACATTGCCTCGATATATATAGATAGATTTACGTCTGTGTAACAGCATGAATAGCTTTGTATCAATGCTCCAGACAAACGCCTCTTTGCTTGCCTCTGCTTGTTCGATTGACAATATTGTCAAAGTTTTTTGTATGTGCATTAAAATGGCATTCATAAGGCGTCACATCCCTGGGGTGCCATAAAAAAGTGTCCATAGACACTAGACACAGCAAAGGGCAGGAAGAGACACCAGCCCAGACACAGTCAACTAAAGTCATGTAACTCCATGCCCTGTGCCATATCTAAATGAATTATTTATGCTCGCTTTGTGGTCTGTCGTTCGATTCTGTAAACATTGATTGCTGCTCGTTATGTCGGCTCTGGCATTTAATATATCATTAAAGTTGCAATGGGGCCTCACTTGTTGCCGCTGCCAATTTGTTGCTCTTTCAGTTTATTGCGCATACGACGCGTGGCACGAACTCGGCTCAAATTTGTCAACCGACATTGGATACTACTAAAACTGGTTAAGCACCAATTTATCTAGCTGAAAGTGGTATTTAAACTGTCTCTCTCTCTGCCAATCGACGAGTGAATTAGCAAACAGTTAACATGTTCGAGTGCTTTTTGGCATTCGAGTGCAATTAAAGTCAGCTGAAAGTGCTTATATCAAATGACATTAAAGCTCGATTTAATTGATATAATTTTAGATTTCTTGGAATGTTTTTTGGCCGAAAAATATCTTTGAACTAATTTGTAAACAATATACTAAACAGACTTCACAAAACTGATCTGCTTGTGGCTGTTGTCCAGGTTACTCTGGAGGCCAATCAATTGAATTTGCTATCAAAGACTGGCTTCTAACAACTAGCATTTTATGCACACGATGAGTCAACTTCTTAAGAAGCCAACAATTTGACCTTGAATTGACGTTAGATTCTGGCCGTCACTTGAAGGAGAAATACTCTACAAAGCAGCTTCCATGTGGTGCCTCTTAGGCGGCATCTTTCGTGGCATCTTAAAGGTCATACTAAAGGTTGAAGCTTCACTTAGATGCTTGAAGCAGCTTAACGCTATTAATGAAAGATTTGGTCTTAGTTTTTTAGGTATATAGATATATATATATATATGACTCTATATATATATATATATATAGTAACCAACATAGATTTCGCTCTCAGTTCAAGCACATTAAAGCTAAAAGCTCCACTGCTTTATTTATGTATAGAAACTTTCCTAAAGTTAGAGCTCTCTTTAGGCACATTAAAGCTAATACCTTATGCTAAAAACTGCACTGCATTAGCTTTAAGGCTTTATATAGAAAGCTATATACTTCAAGCACATTAAAGCTCATACTTAAAGCTTAAATTGGGTATATAGCTATATAAGGAAACCTACTTAAATCTCGATTTTCGCTATATACTTCAAGCACATTAAAGCTCATACTTAAAGCTTAAATTAGGTATATAGCTATATAAGGAAACCTACTTAAATCTCGCTTTTAGTTCAAGCATATTAAAGCTTAA